TTCTTTGAGTATAACGTATTCACCAAGATGACAGATAGTATTTTAGTTTAAAGTCTCAATATATTGTATAGAAGGAGAGAGAGGGAGGGCATCACACGATTTGTACGAAATCGTCATCACAGGTTATTTGAATCACCCTTGAGTTTTTTACTTTCCTCATCAAAATCCTACCTCGCGAAGTTCATGTGAATTTTCAGTTTTTCTCGCGCTTCATTTGAAGAGCTTTCCCAAGCAAGATTTTATTTTTCCCGCAGAAATGCTTATTGATGTAGACTGGTTGATTTGTTGGGAAGCAGTCTCATCCGTGGCTATAAATGGAGTTGTTTGCTTTCTCGGTATTTATTTAATAACAAAGTTAAAGGGACACTGTCAGGGTATTTATGCTCGCCGAGGTTTTTAGTTGTACGTGACATATGAGATCCCAATTACCCATAACAGAATTTGCGGCTCGAAATTCGGTTTCTTTCTGCCCGAAAATCGCCGATCAAGAACTGGCATGTTTAAGTCTAGCTCACTCTCTTTTCCGTGGTCACGGGCCGCTCTCTAAGGTTTAGACGCGACCACCGAATTGAGTCAAAGTCGTGGGCACTGAAGGCACACAGTCAGAACTAAAAATAGAGAATAAAAAACATGAAACACATTTTTTTGTGGCTTCCAAAAAGCTGCAATTACGTTTATTGAAAAAAAGAAGGTTGAACAGACAACTGGAAGCCCATTCTGTGCGTTCACTGCATAAGTCTCAACATGGTGTCGCTTCGTGTATCGTGGGACTAGCGGATGGCAGCGGACGACGGGCGTGGGACCTCTACTTTAGAACTGTCGTTCACGGTACCGGCGAATACTGTATTCCTTCGAAAGAGAAATTTTGGACCGATTAAAAGAATTGATATTCATCCCGTACGACACGCCCGACCAGCAAGCCGATTGCACGAAGACATCGCTCGCTCAAACGTCAAGCACGAAGTGCGTACTTCAAGTTGAATACGCACGCGTATGGGTTCTTTAGTAGGTGCGAATGTGGCCAAATCGTGGTGCTGCCCGACTTCAAGCCGGGAGTGCATGCACTGGAGGGAAACCGACAGCGAAATTTCCGACATACAGTCGACCCGCTGCATTACTATGACCGAGAGTTCCTTCAGTAGCTCAGTGGGAAGACGTTCGCTTCCCACGCAGCGGGAACGGGTTCGTTGCTATGTTTACATTTCTTTCTTTTTTTACAGTTATCACTGAAAAAAAATTGTTGTGGACGATACGTCGTTGAACTAAATGGTATGGGATCGCATTTTTGACACCTGCGAACTCAATGTGGTCACTTTCCACAAAATGCAAGGACCATATGTATTGGGTAGAGTCCGCTTTCCGAGGTTCCCGTAACTGTTCTACGGGGATTGCAGCCAGTCATTTATTCCGACCCCCGTTGACCTTTTGGAAACTTGTGCACTCTGCCGCACAATATGCAACCTTCAGATGCAGGACATGTGAAGCCGTTCTACACGCAACACCTTGGGATTATTCTTTTCGAAGCCGATCACGGGAATTCACAACGAGCACTCACTACAAATTGGCAATATTTAAATGTACAAAGCAACTCATCATGAAGTACAGAACAGCGAGTGGAACAAACATAACTGCAAAGGAATCGCACGGCAAACGGATCCCGCAACGCATTTCGTCTGCTGCGCACGGAAGAAAAAAAATCGCACGGTCGGGTGCAGCCACGTGACCTCCGTCACGCGCTCTCTCTCCTCTTCACTTCTCTGTGCAGTGCGGGAGTTTCGGCTTCGGTTTCGGGCAGTTGCGTTTTTTGGCTTTATTAAAAAAATGCGTGACTCTGTAGAAAAATATTAACTGGGTAGTATTCCGACACCACGCGGTTGAATGAAGAATGGTACAAGACACCCTATTGAAAAGTATTTTTTTACCGCAATTGCGTTTCCAGTAAGAAATATATATGACTGGATTATGGGACTTTTTTCACTTCGGCGAAACCGTAACTTACCGGAGGTCACCGAATTTGCCTGGATTCACCAGAAATTACCGGAAGTCACCCGATTTGCCGCAATGCACCGGAACTTACCGTTTTTTTGTTTTTTTTTCGGACATCAACGGAAGGTTTTTAGGAAGAAACCTGCGAAACGTGGGTGGTGTATGTTTACCAGATGCTGGACAGTTTGGTAGCAATTAAAATAGTTAGTCCATACACACGAACTCATGTTTACAAACAAACCGGAGCGCCCCTAGCGGACGCCACCGGCGCCGCGCGTGCGCGATGGGTGTGTGTGCAAGAAGCTTGCCGTCACCCATAAACAAACCATTGAAATGCGATGTTATTGGCGTCGGTGTGAGTCCCCCTGCCCTTTTTCGCGTTAGAAATGTTGATTCTACGTCGTCCTGGCGATGTCTGACTACTTGAGCGTCGTCAGCGAAATTACTGAGGCTCGCTACACCGCAAGACGTTGCTTGAATAGTGTGACATGTGGCGATCCATTCCGCGTGGACGCCGCAGTATGTACGCTACAGCCTGATTCGCATGATGAGATTTCGCTCGCAATTTTCAGTCGCGACGCCGCTCGGGCTGCAAAAGCGTAAACCGTAGTTGAGATGGTCGACGTCGATACTGAAAATCTCAAGCAGAATCTGACCAAGTGAATTAGGCATAACAAGTCGGTGATGGTCACTGGTAACGATGATTAACATCTCCTCGTATCTACTGTTTACAGCGAGCCTGCTTACCAACCTTCAAACTTTAGTTTCCGAGGCCTTCACCTACTTCGTATCGCAAGTATCGGGCAACATTTGGTCTACGGGCCGGCGTCGTCTAAGAGAGCAGACGACAAGCAGAGATTTAAACCATGCCCTTAAACACAATAATAAAAAAGTTAATTACGCAAAAATAATTAACAGCTTAATTATCCTTGACTTTAATAATTTTCCTAAATGGGCCCCTGGTCCAGGACCAAAACGCCACAAGCCCTTTTTCATTGCGATAAGTAGTTTTCGCAGGAGCGATTAGGCCTGCGTTCTCTGAAACACCCTCTCTCTCTCTCTCTCTCTCTCTCTCTCTATATATATATATATATATATATATATATATATATATATACATATATATATATATATATATATATATACAGTGTGCGTTTTTTTTTATTCTTACACATTTGTTAAAAAATACCGTTAAAGCAACACTAATGCGGTTTGTGCAGGTGGGTTATATGGCCAGGCGGAGATTTTGTTGGTGGCTAATCTTTGCGATAAGTCGGCTAATTAATTAAAATTTGTTAATTAACTTTTCAATGATTGGAAATAGACATATGGTTTCAATTAGAAACTTGTAAAGCATCGTCGGAAATTACTAAATCAACTATTTTTGGAAGGATATAACGCCGGGGAAGCATTTTACGGCGTTCTGTAAAAGCGTTCCATTTGGACGCATTTCTAGATTTCGGTTTCTTATCGGAGCGCATCACCGCGCCCGCGGTCCCGCTCCCCAGTGGCTGAGACGCGAAACACACGTGCGCTGTACTTCCCTCCATTCTACGAGGGAGGCGAGGAGGTGAATTCGCGCCACGACCACCGGGGCGCAGGATCGCGGGCGCGGTGATGCGCTCCGATAAGAAACCGAAATCTAGAAACGCGTCCAAATGGAGCGTTTTTACACAACGCCGCAAAATGCTGCCCCGGCGTTATATCTTGCTAAAAATAGTTGATTTAGGCGTTTTCGATGATGTTCAGCAAGTTTCTAACTGAAACCATATGTTTATTTTCAGTAATTAAAAAGTTAATTAACGAATTTTAATTAATTAGCCAACTTATCATAAAGGTTAGCCACCCACATAATGTCCACCTGGCCGTATAACCCACCTGCACAGACCACATTAGTGTAGCTTTCACGGTATTTTTTAAACAAATGTGTAAGAATAAAAAAAACAACAAAAAAACACACCTTGTATATATATATATATATATATATATATATATATATATATATATAGCGGTTTTTTTTAATCTTACAGATTTGTTTAAAAAATACCGTGAAAGCTACGCTAATGTGGTTTGTACAGTTGGGTTATACAGCCAGGCGGACATTGTGTCGGCGGCTAATCTTTGCAATAAGTCGGCTAATTAATTAAAATTCGTTAATTAACTTTTTAATAACTGAAAATAGGCATATAGTTTTAATTAGAAAATTGCTGAGCATCATCACTGCATTACTGTCATGTCTGCTTTATACATATGCGGGCTTCGAACATCGGAAAGCTTTTGTGGGATAAACGTGACAAGACCGTCAAGGAAGAAACGCCTCAGACAGTATGCAGACTATCTTATGCATGATGTATATGAGCCCCGTGACTAGGGCTTAACGTTTCCGGTCATTTCGTCGCGCTTTATCAAACCGACCCTCCTACCGACGAAGGGGTACTCCGGCTATTTTTTTGTGGTCGCTGATTTGCCTCAAAATTGGCTCAGCGCACCGATAGACATGGTCCTACGAGTTCCCCAAGTATTCTGTGAAAAGAAAAAAAAATTCGCGAAGTTATTGAATTTTCGAATTTCGTTTTCATCGTGCTTCTCAAACCGGGAGCCCCTACTGGCAACATTGAAGTGTGACGACAGAAATGGTACCAAGTGGGCAGTAAGCCATGTTCCCAACTGATTACAAGACGTTTGAGGGGGGGGGGGAGAATGTTTGGTAACTGATTCATTGAGAAGCACGCAAAAACACTCGACACACTTTGTTTAAGACTACATGCACGACCTGAAAGTCTGTACCATGTGTGACGTCACACCACTGAAGAACGCGCGAAAATTTGAATGCTGGTTTCGGCATCATCTTCATTTACGGTTTTCTTAGTTGCTAGATTGAATTTCGAGAAAATAAACAGCATACCATGACGACTGAATTCCGGGTAGTCAGAAAATGCAATTTGTTCAGGTAGCTCAAAAAACGACCGTAGTACCCCTTTAAGTCGGTTGTCTTCCATCTTCTTTTCTGACAGAACGCTCGCCTGCATGACCGCTCCATCATCATGCTCCTGGGCGTCCTCATCGGCGTGGCGCCTGCCATCGTGGCGGTCTCGGAAAACCCTGCTGCGACCCTGTCGGTCCTAGAGAGAGCAGAGAATCACATCAGTGAACTGTCGAAGATCGTATTGGACTTGAAGAGTGAGACCGTTTTCAAAATAAACCTAAAGGCCGGCTTAGACGTGCAGCGCAGCACTACCTCTGCGCTGATTCAACACTAGAAACAGCGGTCACCTGGCTTTTTTTTAAACATGGTTCGCATTTAAGCAGTGCTGATGAGCACTTCACCAGCTCTGCGCACTGGCATAACGCAAACTCCGCGCCGGATTAGACAGAAGTCAGCCCTTTTTCCAGCACTGATTAATTGCGCTGCGCTGTATACGTGTCTGCAGGCCTTAACACAGGAACCAGTGTAGTTTCCGTCGTCGCTCGCAGATGGCGGCAACCTGTCCAGCTATAATAGAAGAATGGATAGTTGGGCGCGTTGGGGGGGAATTCATGGTAGGAAACAGCACGAAAAACAGACGACGACAAAGTGTATCGAGTCCAGCTCCGCTGGTCTTCCTTCTTCACGAGAGTGGAAAGACTGAACGATTTTTATTTCTTGGATTGTACATCCAACAGGTACGGTTGCTGTTGAAGTAAAGTTTTATATCTAAAACTGGTAGCGTACGATCAGTTCGTGTCTCGTGGGTGAACTTTGCGCCTTTGTCTTGTTCTAGAACGTTTCATTGTCTTTCGCGCTTTTTGATTTCCGTGATCTGTCACCACCTAGCCCAACTGTTGGTTTTGGTATGGTGAACTGTTAGCTCCGATAGCGCGTTCTTATTTGCTCTTGACTGAGGTTGACTGTGTTCCAGTGCAGGTGTGTGTAAGAGCTCTGCGCAAATGCTCTCCCGAACGTTGTGCATACGGCTTTTCGCAATAACGCACCGAGCTCATGTGCAAATGTTACCGCTCGTTCTCCACACTGCCCTAGCTAAGTGACTCGGAATGTAGTGCGGGACGGTATGCTTGCAGACATTTTTGCGATTGTGCTCAAAATTTATGCTTCTAAAAACATGACTTAACATAACTGATTTATTCTTCTCATTCTTCTTTCTTGGGTCAATACGATCACTCTGCTGTCTCCAGAAAGCCTTCGCCCTCGAGATTGCGGAGACCTGCTAAAGGCTGGACAAATAAACAACGGAGTTTACGTCATTTTTCCGACCTCGGATTCAAAGGGAACATCGGTCTATTGCGATATGAACACCGACGGTGGGGGATGGACCGTGAGTATTTCAGTTCAAGCAATTGCATTCACACCCATCTCAATGTGTGTTTTTGCTATTTTAGACAAGTCACATGGCTTATCGTCTATCCCAAAATATCCACCTGCAATGCATTGCACATTGTGTCCTGCGACACTGTTAGTGCGGACACGACATAGTCACTCTTCCGCATTTTACGCACAGAGGCCAGTATGGGAAGAGTGCGTCTTGTCCAATACAGACGAGACACTGTTCCCATAACGTTTAAGTCGGTGTCAAACATAGGAACATTCTACTATTCTGATGCTTTACCGAAGCCATTCAAAAGATATTTATTCGACTGCCAAACGATATTCACCTTTGCAAAAGTGCACCCCGCGTAGTTTAGAAAATTAAAGAAGAAGATTCAGGGGAGCTTTATAACATCGTCTTTATATTCACCTCCAGGTTATTCAAAACAGAGGCCAGTATGGGAACAGTGCCTACTACTTCTACCGAAACTGGACGGAGTATGCAAATGGATTTGGAGAGAGGGATAAGGAATATTGGATTGGTGAGTGTCGCACGCTAATGACGTCTAAAGTATCTCCCAGCTCTTATGGGGAGAATTTGGCAACTCTCAAGCTGTGCATCTCAACGACCTTATCGTTACCAGGTCCCGGAGAGCCGGATTAGCCATACGCGTCATGCTTGATTCAGTACCTGAGCGCGCTTACCGTACTCTCATGCTGGGATGCCTCAAAATATTGACCCAAGCACAGTGCACGCGAAACAGCAGTCGTTTGAAATAAGAATCATAGGGAAGAAGCTTCGCAACAGTCCTAATTGGCTCCTAAAAAAAATTCTGTCGAAAAATCAGAATTTGGTAGTTGAAAGCCTTTTTTCGTTTTATTTCTCTGTTTTTATTTTTGAAGTTTGTTTAGAAACCACTTAACACACAACATATTCCATCTACTTCCCCCGAAAATACGCGAAAACCTATATTCACTGTTAAAGCAAAAAGCTAAAATAGAAAAAAAAAAAGTCTATCCCTTCCGCAAAAAAAAAAAAAAGAAAAGAAAGAACTGATCAATACTGATTTATTGATTTTCGGCGAAAATTCTATTTCTAAAGCTTATTTTTTAAGCCTTTAAGCCTCAGGTTCCCTCTCTAAATTTAGCGGAAGAATTTACGTCACGGGACCTATGCATGAGTATAGTTTTCCCGTTGAACTTAGCCGAAGAATTGACGTCACATGACCTATGCACCAAGCGAGTTTCCTCGCTATATTTGGCGGAAAAATTAATGTCACGTGGCCTGACGTCTCGGGACCTCCAGAAGAAAACAACTTAAGGGTAAACGGAGACTTGGCGAGAAGATGTGTTGGTGGCGCCACCTCGTGGGCGCCCTCGTGTGACGGAGCTGTTGGGATGGCAGCAGACGACGCGCTATGTCAAAGCACGGAGTGGCTATGTTAGTTCGCATCTGTGCCGATTAAAAACAGTTTGTTTATTACAGAAACGTGTGTGACGTTTCTGTGTGTGATCTCTCTGATGGATACCAGCACCTTGAAGTTGCTTTCTATATTAAAAAAAAAATTTAAATTGTTCAAGACCAAGTTTGGAGCTTCACATTACAGCTTGCGTGGCGTGCCTCAGTTCGATTCACAACCTCTGATTCCTGTTTTTTTTTTTTTTTTTGAACCATTCTTGTGAAAACACAAGCCGCTTTATATTTGGCTACCACAATTTCGCTAATGGATCTAGACCTATGCAGTTTCTTGTTACCATAAAAAAATATAAAACTAACTTCAAAAGTAATTCCTATTTTTTGATGGCAGTCATTAATTTACTCAGTTACTTTTCTTTTGAATAATTTCCATTCTACTCAATTATATTTAAGGCCAATACTCGGTAACCCAACTTAATTACGTATTTTTAGTAAGTCGTACGTGTATGGTCAAATCTAAGATAACCTTCGGACTTCTGAACCAGACGTTCTGCTCACAGGCAGCGATCACGAAAAAATGTCGCACTCCCTGACGCATCAAAACTTTTTTTTTTGCGTCAAAACAAATTGACCTGAGCCTCAGCATCTATAATGCGATATAATGCAATTCGGAGCTTTAAAGGGATGGTGAACCGAAATTGGATTTCAGAAAACAATGCAGGAGCTGTAGGCGGGACGCTACAATTCCTACAGCACTAGTCGTAAGGCGATATCTAAAATGGACTTGTACTTTTTGCAAAAAGTGGTCGAGATTGAACGAGGCCGACGAGGCGCGTGACGTCAAGATATCTGGATTCCTCCTCTCTTCGCTTCACCCCCTCAAGGCCGCGAGGCGGAGAAGACGCGAGGCTGTTCCCTCTTCTTTTCGAAGAAACAAGTCGTGAACATGGGGGCTAAGCTCGGCACGGAGAGATCAAGGCGAGTTCTCCGCCAAACTCGCCGCCCGCCGCGATTGGTCGGCGCCGTGCATGGCGACACGCGCCGTCACTCCCTAAATCGTGACGTCAGAACAGAGGGTTTGAGGCAATCGGAGAGTGGAATATTCGGAACTCGCGGCGAGATGCTGTGACGTCATTGTGACGTGGCAGAAGCCGCCGCGGATAGGAAAAGCTTGCCGGCTCCGACTAGTGCCACTAAATAAGCTACGCTTCAGAGTAACGACACTTCGCCATATTGTGTCTTAAAATCAGGGTTGCCAATTATCTGAAGCTTTATCTGAAATCACAGGAAACGCTTCTCCGCTCTGCACAAATGTTTAAACAGCTCGCGACAGAGCAAAGCAATATTACATGACCTTTCTAACACCGAATCTAGTGCTGTGGATGTCGCACTTCTGAATTACGACGATCGGCAGTTGCGTCTGCTCTGCGTACGAGCCAAAATGGCGGCGCCCACAACAATGTTGAGGAATGGAGTGCCGATACTGTAAGCGCAGCTCATTTAGTGGCTCTATAGCTCCGACCTAGGCGAGTTTGGGCGAGTTGGGCGCGAGATGAGGGAGAAGCGTCCAAAATGGCAGCGTTTTTGTTCGTGTTTCGCCGTCAGCGTAGGTCTTTACGCCACGCCAATGTGTTTGACATGGACGACGTTCGTTTAAAACAACACTATCGCCTCTCGAAAGACGTGGTAAGGTGGCTGTGCGATGAACTGCGTGGCGGACCGGGCTTGAGGCGGTGGAGCCGTAAATGGACCGTCGTCCCCGTCGTGAATACTACAAGCAAATTCTGCAAAGTGAATCCTAGAAAGAAATGTGTTTTTACGGCAACCTGCAACTAGGAACGCCATTTACCATTAACAACAGGCTTTTACAATTATCCTGATGGTTTGCTGCGTTGCGTTGCGTAGATGCAAGAAAAACGCACTTGATAAAATTTAAACTAAAGCAGAGGATAGAAGAAAAGCAATGTACATGAATGGCGCAGACTAACAACTGTGTAATCTCTTTCTCATCTTTCTCCCTCCACACAGTATTTTGACAAACAAATTGGTCGTTAGTTGTTTATGCAGCAGGAGAACATGCCAGAACATGGCGACATTGTTACCCACTTTAGATAAGCAATTTAGCCAGTGCAGTATGACTGCTAGCGTGGGATCTTTAACGTGCACCACGCAGTAATGATCCACAACGGTACGCCGGTACGATGCTAATCCAGATCGACACGGTCAGGGGTGGGGATTGAATCCACGATCCTGGGTTCTGCAGCGTGAGCTTTCGCTCCACGTGCACCCTATTGTGGGAAAAAAAAAAACATATTGTGGCTGTGTGGCGGTGTGAGGGGAGAAAGATGAGAAAGAAATTACACATTTGTTAGTCTGCGCCATTCCTGGATCGCTAGGTTGGCCATTTGAGAAAAGGTACATGGAAGTGACGTAATGGAAAGGAGGAACGTATCCTAGCAACACTCACGTGGCGGCTCTGCCCACTTTGACGCCGCTACGTCATCGCAAACTTGACACCTGTCACCCGTTTGAGCGACGTTCGGAGCCAACCCCGACGAGCGGAAGGAGCTGCGCATTCCCTGAGGCGTCCCTACGTGCGGGATACGGGGTAGGATTTACTACGACGCGGGGAGAAGTTCCTGCGTTTAGCGAAGGAACGGCAACCAATCCTGTGCGTCGCTAGTCGTTGCATCTGTTCTATTACAGGTAAAAGTATTGAAAAACAATCAAAACCTGTTGTGCGTTGTTAAAACAAACCGCTTTTTTGTGTCCTTTTGCAATACATTTAAGAATTAATTGGAGAGAAAGTTGTTCCAATATTATGCGAGATGTGCGCCACGCGCCTTCTTCAAACCAAAATGTCGAACCACGAGGAGCCGGGGGTGCCGGGGGCAGCGGAGGGGTCGGCGGAACCAACGGGGAGCGCGCGAGTGACGGCTGCTTTAGTCAGAAACAATTTTTTTATCTTTCGAGAACTTGCTATTGCTGTGCTCAAATAAGAATGTTTGGCGCAACATCTGTGATAATTCTTTCAAAGTGGTCCAGTGTTTATATGGTGGTATACTAGTCAGAGAATATATATATATATATATATTTTTTACTTTCGAAATTTAACTATTGTGCTCAAATAAGACCAGAGTGTTCAAGAAGATATTTGTGATATATACTTCAGATTGCCCAATTGTTTACATGGTTCCAGTCGATGCTCAGTTTTACTTCCAAGAATGAAATATTACATTCCATGTTATCACACTTTTATTCATGAAGTTACAGGTTTTTCTTTAATAAATAAAGCAATTTTCAAAACAAACTACATGTGCACTGTCTTGAGATAACACAATCACCTAACTTTGATGAAGTACCATAAAAGAGATAATAAAATGGAGCAGAAGGCGAGACGCTTTGAAGCATTTGTAAAATGAAACAATGTCCATGACAACAATATCCCTGGTTCAATCAGCAACTAAGAAAGCAATCTCTGCAAAAGCAAGCATTTCTTTCTAGAGGTAGTCTAAATTAATTCTGAGTTCTTTGCAGGGGTAATCCAGATGACCTGTTGGTCTGGCAACTAAACCTCCGAACCTTTTTTGTCACTGTCGACTGCATCTCGTGCCTTCTGCTCATAAAATTAAAAAAAAAAAGGCTGTATCGATTTCACCGCGATGCACTCGACACGTATCCGGAAGCAGCACGCTGGCTGTGCGACGAACTTCACAAGGTGTAGGAGCTGAAAAGAGTATGTAGCTTGTGGACGGCCATGACTGTGGAGCAGGAAGCGAAGTGTGCACTTTACGGCTTCCACGGGGAGGGCTTCACTGAGGGCAAGGATGTGACGGGGTCCTTGCTGGTCAGGACCTCAGTCGTGGTGGCGAGAGGTTCCCTGTCGCTTGCGGCGTCCATGCTGGGCACCACCGCGGCGAGGGCGCTGAGGGGCTTCCCGACGGTGTCCCTGGTGGTCGGGACCACCGTCGTGGCGGCGGACCCCTTGCGTGTGGCGCTCCGCACGGGCACGTCTGCGGCGGGTTCCGAACCGGGCGACAAGGCGTTGCCTCAGAGCCTTACCCCTGTCCGAGAGGCCGACCGGAAGGCCGACCGGAGGGCCGGCAGGAGCCAGCCTCTCGGGAG